ATAAAGTACCATTTTAAAATACAAAGTTCTGAGGCCTTTCTGAAGAAACTGAGGTAAGAATTCCTTTCCTAAGTATCCTATAAGGAGCAAGTAATTACTTTTTTAGTAAATCTATAACCTTTTGGATATAAGTTGTATGAAATGAAAATCAATGGTGAAACAACAGCATGAGGACAAGTATCATTCATGTGTGGCCAGTGTAACATAAGAGAGTGCCAGAACGGGAGCAGGAGGGGCCAGCAGGTGGCACGGAAAAGTGGAAAAGCAAGCCACCAAATCTGGGACTCAAACCACAGTCGGCCATGTGGGAGTGTCCAGAGCCCTAACTATCACACCACCTGCTGGTCTCCCTAGAATAAATCTTAAAAATTCCAAGGTGGAGGTCTAGGAGGTAGTATGGAGGTTAAGGCACTGGATGCCACGTGGCCGACTCCTCAGTTCAAATCCTCGACCCAGCAGCTTGCAAATAATGCTGGAAGTGCATGGATGCCCAAAAAATCCCAAGAGGAGAATGGAGGGGAAGGGACTGCAGTGTGGCCTTCCCCCATGGGCAATGATTTATCTCTCTCTCTCTCCCTCTCTTTCTCCCTCTCTTTCTCTGTCTCTTTTGAGTGCACACAACCTATAGCAAAAACTAAAGAAAAAAGAAAATCTGAGGTGGGAAGGAGAGAGGAGGCCATAGAAGAGAAGGTGGAAGGGGAGAAGGAGTAGAGAAAATGGACTGGGGAATGAATTCACAAGACTGAAAGACATTGAAAAATTGTTCCAGGCTCTACTAAAGACAGTGTGTGCACTTAAAGAAGCACAGAATCTGGGGCCAGCAGGTGGTGTAGTGGTTAAGGGTGCTGGACTCCCACAAGGCCAACTGCAGTTATGAGTCCCAGACCTGGTAGCTTACATTCTCACTTTCTCTTTCTCTCTCTCTCTCTCTCTCTCTCTCTCTCTCTCTCTCTTCTCTCTTGCTCTGTCCCTCTCCGGTCAAATTAAAAATAAATGATTCTAAAAATTTTTTATTTAAAAAGAGGCACAGAACCTAAGACTCAAAATACATAACTACAAGCAAATCAAGTGTCATTATCTGTTTAGCACCTAGGACAAGCAAATTCTTTGTTAGAAGTGGAGTTGAAACCTCCAACCATTCTCTCGGATTTATGTACCACATAAAAAGAGAACATCTCAATATTCCAATTAGTGAAAGAAATATATATTAGGCCTTGCCTCTGTGCCAGGCACTGGGAATGTGATGACAGGACCAGATGGTAGCACAGCAGTAACATAGCATGCTGCAATACTGGACCCTCATGGAAAGGTCCTCAGTTCATATCCTAGGGCCTCCTTCTGTGTGCCAGATGTGCACACATGTGCTCACGATCTGGACTGGCAGGGGAGGGGGGATCACAGTGTGAAGACCCTGTTGGGGGTGCCTTGTTCTCTCTGAACTAATAAATAAACTTTAAAAAAGACAGACATGGTTCCTGCCATCACTGGACTAATAGACAAACATAAGTAAATAATTATGACTTGCAAATAAGTGCTATAAAGAAAGTAAGAAAATGAATCATAGGGATATCAGAGGGAGGAATATTCCAGAAAATGGATACAGCAAATGCAAGAGACCTGAAACAAGACTAATTTGGCACTCATTTGTGCAGGAGACCCCTGTTTCAGGCTGGCCTCCTGCACTAGGCCCCAGCTGAGCACACTGAACCAGAATGGCGCACCTGTGCTTAGTGACATAATCAAACTGAACTCTGAAATAGGCCAATTTTCTAAAACCAGGAGATTCACAGAAGCCAATCAGAAGGGGTCTAGTTGACCTGACCTGGCTCGACAAATTATTATAGTGCCTCTGTTTTAACTAGTGGGAAAGTAATTCTGAAATTACCAATCTACGCTCTGTTTCTGCTTCTCTGACCCTCCTCCACTCAGCTCATTGGAGCACTCTGTTTTATAGAATGAGATGTTGCCCAATTCTAGACTTGCAAATAAAATCAACTAGATCTTTAAATTAAATTTGTTGTTAATTTTGTCTTTTGACAGTATGATGACAGGGAAGAGAGGTCTCCAGACTCAAACCTGGAAGATCCCCATGTGGGTCAGTCTAATAGAGCTTTGCATTTTATTGCTGTACCATCATCTGCCTTGAAGTGAATGACTATTGAAAATATGAAAACTTGGGGCCAGCAGGTGGTGTGGTGGTTAAGGTGTTGAACTAACACATGGCTGACCACAGTTCAAGTCCTGGGCCTGGTGACTTACTTTCTCACTTCCCCTCTTTCTCTCTCTGTCTCTCTCTGGTGAACACACATGCCCTAGAACAAATTAAAATAGCAACAATAAATAAAAATTAAATAAATAATTATTGTAAGATATATATATATGAAAACTCCCTAAAAGTATCTTGGTATTCTTCACTAATCAAGCCCTGCTATATGAAAGTTAAGGTGTTGAACTAACACATGGCTGACCACAGTTCAAGTCCTGGGCCTGGTGACTTACTTTCTCACTTCCCCTCTTTCTCTCTCTGTCTCTCTCTGGTGAACACACATGCCCTAGAACAAATTAAAATAGCAACAATAAATAAAAATTAAATAAATAATTATTGTAAGATATATATATATGAAAACTCCCTAAAAGTATCTTGGTATTCTTCACTAATCAAGCCCTGCTATATGAAAAGTAATAAATTAAAAGGAAATGTTGGGGGTGGAGGAAATAGAAGGATATTGATTAATGAAATAAAGTTGCAGATAAATAGAAGGAACATTGTCTAGTGGCATAAAATACAGTGGAGAGGGTATGTTTAACAACAACTTACTACACATAATGTTGCAAATAGTTGGGATAATGGGTATACTAATCACCCTGATTATACATGGTAGTTTGGTACTGAAAAATCGACTGTTACACGAATATAAAATTATTAACGAGAAAAATACTTTAAATAATTTTAGAAAGGAAATGTCTTGGATTATTTTAGAAATCTGTGTAAGAAAAAAAACAAGAATTCCATTTCAACTGTGCCTTTTGAATTTTGTACCAAATGAATGTATAGTTCTTGAAAAATATAGTCTGGCCAGTTGGTGCACACAATAGTGAACTCAGCTGCAGTGCTGGAGATCCTGCAGCCACCTGCATTCTGATATCCCAGGTGGCATGAAAATGCGCTAGGCACCTGCACACTCCCAGACTCTTGAGAAGCTGTAGGGCAGGTGAAGGAGGATCACTGTGCAAAGGGTTCTTGTAAAAGGGTGTTTTCTCTCTCTCTCCCCCACTCTCTTTCTGGCATACATACATGTGCTTTCTTTCTTTCTTTCTTTCTTTTTTTTTTTTGGGGGGGGTGGGAGAGGGTTTTGCTATAGGGCGCGTGCGCTCGCCAGAGACACAGAGAAACAGAAAGCAAGAAATCACCCCCCGGGGGGATGGCCACAGTGTAATCCCTTCTCCTTTCTTCTCTCGGGATCTTAGACACACGCACACGCACACGCGCCCAGCAGGAGTTTAAGCCACTAGGTCCGGGACTCGAACCACGGATGACTACATGGGAGTCCAGCGACATAGCCATTCCACTAACTGCTGGTCCCGTCATACATGTGCTTTCTATCATGAATAAAATAAACCTTTGAAAATAACATATAGGGACCAGCAGATGGCATAGTGGTTATGTCGCTGGACTCCCAGGTAGTCAACCATGGTTTAAGTCCTGGACCCAGAAGCTTGAACCTCACACTGGGTACATGTGCGTGTATACCCAAGATCCCAAGAGGAGAATAGAAGAGAATGGAGAAGAAGGGACTATGACATAGCCATCCCCCCGGGGGGTCACTTACGGGTGATTTGACGCTTTCTGTCTCTGTTTCTCTCTGTCTCTCTGGTGAGCATATGCACTTATAGCAAAAATCTCTAAAGAAAATACACATATATATTTTCTTAAATTAGGGTACTTTAAAACATTATTTTTAAAAAATTTGCTAGATGGGAACCAACAGTTAGCATAATGGCTATGTCGCTGGACTCCCACGTAGTCAACCGCGGTTCGCGTCCGGGACCCGGTGGCTTAAAACTCACGCCGTGCGCATGTGCATGCGTGCCCAAGATCCTGCCGAGAGGATAATGGAGGAAAAGGGATTGCGGCATGACCATCCCCCCTGGGGGGTGATTTCTTGCTTTCTGTCTCTATGTCTCTTTCTGTCTGGCTGGCGAGCGCTCGCACCCTATAGCGAAAATCTCTCCAAAAAAAAAAAAAAATGCTAACGGGGGGACAGCAGGGGGGGAGGGAAAGGTGCTAGACATGGTCGATTACGGTTTGAGTACTGGACTTGGCAGCTTGCTTTCTCTTCTCACTTTTCTCTCTCTGGTGAGCACAGACACCACATAGCAAATTTTAAAATAATAATAATATTATTATATTATAATAATAATAAAAGTAAATAATTCTTTAACATTTTTTTTCTCTCACAGAAGAAAGAACATTAGAAAGCATTACTCATGGAGGATGGCCATGATAATCCTTCCATCTCTGTCTCTCCTCCTTTCAGGACTTGGAGTATGCACACACATGTGCCTGGTGTGATTTTCAAGCCACTGGGTCCAGGACTTGACCCATGCCATTGGCCATGTCAGATCCCATCTCCCTAACCACTACCCAACCCAGAGTACAAATTTTTTAAGCAGATTGAAAGTAGGCAGAAAGGAATAGGGCTTGTGCCTTCAGCCACTGGGATGAAGAAAGGCAGGTGAGATTTGGAGGAGAGGACCCTCAGGTAGAGGGCAGAAGCCCTGGATTATAATCCTGGCTCCTCCGTAAGTAGCAGGGAACTTTGTGCCAGTAATTTCTTCCCCTAGGTCTAAACTAAATCATGTCAAAGAAAAGTGACCACACCTTCCCTACCTCACCACTGGGCTGTGAAATAAACAAGAGTCCTTACTTTTCTTTGTTGATGAACTCTCACTCAGCTGTGGATCAGATTCAAACATCACCTCCTCCATGATGCCTTCCTAGACTTTCCTGGACAGATGGAGTTAGCAGCACCAACCTCCAGGTTTCAAAGAGAAATGTCTCTAGCATCACTCCTGGTTCCTTGTGTTGTCCTATTTCTTTCAGTTTCTCCCAGAGCCAGAAAGATGTCTCACACAGACTTGGAAACACCCAAGAGGCCACCAGTTCACAATTAGGGGTCCAATAAATAATAGCAATAATGAAGAGTGAATGAATGGTACATATTTCTCTGAGGCATTTCCACATGCTTCTCACGTCATTCTACAAAGACCTGAAGATTTCTATTGATAAATGGCCCTGGAAATGTCAACGCATAAACACCAAAACAAATAAGTAGGGTCATTTCAATAAAAATGTGGGGTTTTGTTTCTTTCGAACACTTTCAATTCCACTGAGGTGTCTTTTCATTCAAGAACATGTTGCTTTTCAACAAATCTGAGGAAATAGAGCTTCCCTATAGTCTTCGCGCGTGTTTTACTCTTTAGCGCGTGGGCCTCGCTCTTGAGAATGCCTTAAAATGCTCGGCCGTTGTTTACTAGAACAATGACTAATCTATTTAATGTTTGAACTGATGCAAGACAAACGCAAGCCTCCGTGGGCTCTTCCTGGGACTGTGTGGAAATGCAGTAGTTACGTGGGATCCTTCTGAGGAAAACTAGCAGCGAAGGTGGCTAAGACAAGACTCTTCTCTGTAGTTCCAGGCACGTTCGTTTGGCTGTTTCTGTTTTTTCTTTCAGAAAAGACCAAATTGTTAACGGTCATGTGAGGTAAAATCTGCGGTCCAGGGTCATTTTCGGACGCACGGTCGCCAACACCCCGGCTCTCAGGACTTTCTAAACGGCGTTTCCGTTCTGTGGCCCTTCCCGCGCCAGCCTGAGGGAAGCACCGCCCCGCCAGGAAGGAGCTCGGAAAACCCGCGGGCAGCCCTAGCCCGGCACCCGGATGTTTGAGCCGGCGGAGCGCAAGCTCAAGGGCTCCAGCCTGTCCCCGGGGCCGCGCAGCTGGAGATTCGCCCCGGACTGCGGAGCCAATGGGACCTGACGGCACCGGAACTGGGTGCTCGGGCGCACGCGCGCGCGCGTCGGAGCCAAATAGCTGACGAACCGCCCAGTCGCGAGGCCTGGCGGAAAGGAAGTCGCGGGAACTGACGCTGCTGGGGGAACTTTGCGTGGATGGCACTTTCCTGTCCCCGACTCCGCCCCCGCCGGAGGGGCTCAGCTCCGGGATTCAAGATGGAGTCGCTGAGTCGAGCTGGGCAGGAGATGAGCCTGGCGGCCCTAAAGCAGCACGACCCCTACATCACCAGCATCGCAGACCTCACGGGCCAGGTCGCTTTGTACACCTTCTGCCCTAAGGCCAACCAGTGGGTGAGTGCTGTTCGGACGCTGGACGCCCTGCCGGCCGCCGCCGCCTCTTAAAGGGGACGCGCGGGCTGCCTGGGGTGGCGGGCGAAGCAGGAGGCCAGGGCGGCGGAGGCGAGGCCGGGGTCTGGGGAAGGGCCGAAGCAGAGCGCGCTAGATACCGGTGCGCTGAGGATTCGGGGAGAGGAGTGAGGGAAGCAGGCCCAAGATATCCCAGGGAAAAGCCAAGGGAAGGATTGGAGCAGGACCGTTCAGCCCCTTGGGGTCGCGAATGGAGACGTGGGAGACTTGCCTCTTTTTAGACGCGTTGTAGGTTGTGAAACTGGTGGGGTCACAGAGGTGGCTGAAAGCTTGTGTCTGGGGCTTTGAGTATTATGAGACAAGTTATATATTCATGATCTGTAAAATGGACACCTCTCTCCTCTCGGATCCATGAGAGACCCTTTCGCAAAGGTCATTTGGGTTCAAAGCTTGAAATCCATTTAGTTTCGTTTCTTGAGAGTAAGGGGGTGGGATGGATTCGCCTTTCATCTAACTACACTGTATTCCAAAGTTTTGGAAAAGATTTTAAAGGCACTGAGGAAAAGCGAATCCATATTCATTGGAGTCCCTGGAGACCTTTTACAGGGAGAAATGACCCTGTAAATGTGTTTAGTACCTCCTGCGATACTGGTGATGTCATCTCTGAATGCTCTATCAGAATAAATACTTTTAGGCTATTGCGCTCGGGAGGAGGATCTAAAAAGTTACATCCAGTTTGTATACACTCACTCTTGTTAGCCTCTGCTAATAAGTTTCTGTAGTTGTTTAACATAATTTCCCATTTTCTTGTAATAGACCCTTCCTAATTAACTCATTTAGCTGAAGGTTTTACATTTAGATAATAATCTGTACATGTTTGATTAAATTTATCAATGATCTGCGTCCACATTTCAAGAAGAAATGAAAGTCTTGAGCTAACAAAACTCTAAAAGATTATCATAGTATTTCCTTTACAATATAAATCAGTTCCACAGGTTATATTTATCAGTAATTTTTGAAAACCATTTGACATTTATACACTCATAATTAAGAGAGGTTTCATAGTCATTTTGCTTGCCTTTCCTTCACCTCCTGGAAAATGTGGTGTGGAACGCCACAAAGGATAAAATTATGGATTATTTTTAAAGTGTAGCTTTTTAACTTTATTTATTATTTTAAAATTTACTATAGGCCGCGTGCACTCACCAGAGAGAGATAGAGAGGGAGGGAGAAAGGGAGACAAAGTGAGAAAGCAATCTACCAAGTCTGGGCCTTGAACCACGGTGGCCATGCGGGAGTCCAGCACTTTAACCACCATGCCGTCTCCTGGTCCCAAAATGTAGCTGTTTTAAACATTGCCTTAGTTTGAAATGTTCTGAATCGTTTTGTTTTCTTGGCCTATATGTAAATTTGTGAGGTAATGGATTACAGAAAAATGGTGAGGATTTAGGCTAGGACTTTTTTTTTTTTTTTTTTTTTTTTTTTTTTTTGGGGGGTGGCTCTGGACACCTCTCTCCTCTCGGATCCATGAGAGACCCTTTCGCAAAGGTCATTTGGGTTCAAAGCTTGAAATCCATTTAGTTTCGTTTCTTGAGAGTAAGGGGGTGGGATGGATTCGCCTTTCATCTAACTACACTGTATTCCAAAGTTTTGGAAAAGATTTTAAAGGCACTGAGGAAAAGCGAATCCATATTCATTGGAGTCCCTGGAGACCTTTTACAGGGAGAAATGACCCTGTAAATGTGTTTAGTACCTCCTGCGATACTGGTGATGTCATCTCTGAATGCTCTATCAGAATAAATACTTTTAGGCTATTGCGCTCGGGAGGAGGATCTAAAAAGTTACATCCAGTTTGTATACACTCACTCTTGTTAGCCTCTGCTAATAAGTTTCTGTAGTTGTTTAACATAATTTCCCATTTTCTTGTAATAGACCCTTCCTAATTAACTCATTTAGCTGAAGGTTTTACATTTAGATAATAATCTGTACATGTTTGATTAAATTTATCAATGATCTGCGTCCACATTTCAAGAAGAAATGAAAGTCTTGAGCTAACAAAACTCTAAAAGATTATCATAGTATTTCCTTTACAATATAAATCAGTTCCACAGGTTATATTTATCAGTAATTTTTGAAAACCATTTGACATTTATACACTCATAATTAAGAGAGGTTTCATAGTCATTTTGCTTGCCTTTCCTTCACCTCCTGGAAAATGTGGTGTGGAACGCCACAAAGGATAAAATTATGGATTATTTTTAAAGTGTAGCTTTTTAACTTTATTTATTATTTTAAAATTTACTATAGGCCGCGTGCACTCACCAGAGAGAGATAGAGAGGGAGGGAGAAAGGGAGACAAAGTGAGAAAGCAATCTACCAAGTCTGGGCCTTGAACCACGGTGGCCATGCGGGAGTCCAGCACTTTAACCACCATGCCGTCTCCTGGTCCCAAAATGTAGCTGTTTTAAACATTGCCTTAGTTTGAAATGTTCTGAATCGTTTTGTTTTCTTGGCCTATATGTAAATTTGTGAGGTAATGGATTACAGAAAAATGGTGAGGATTTAGGCTAGGACTTTTTTTTTTTTTTTTTTTTTTTTTGTGTATGGGGTGTGTGCACTCTCCAGAGAGACCAAAAAATGAGAAATCACACACACACACACACACACACACACCATGGGGTGGCCACTCCACACAGTCCTTTTTCCTCGATTCTCCTCTCTGGATTTTGGGCATGTACGTACATGTGCGTGGCCTGAGTTTCAGCCGCAGGGTCTGGGACTACGTGGGAGTCCAGCAATGTAACCATTATGCCATCCACTGGTTTGTGGGCTAGGACTTTTTACCAAAAAGTTTTTATTTCTAGTTTTTCCCAGGCTTCGAATATTTTAGAATTTTAAATTGTGGCATTCAAGTATGAAAAACAAGCTTATAATAACCTGACCTGAAAAATAAGCTGCTGCTGTTTGTTCGGATCGTTGCATATAGAGCATAACCAAAATCATTTCTCTATTATTGGCAGTGAGTTGTAACTACACAGCGTTTTCTAGGGGACAAACTTTCTGTTACTGTGAGACAATTGATTACCAGTTTTTTATACTGATACTTAACATTTTAAAGACAAGAAAAAGCCTTTGAATTCTCAGAAGGAAGTTTTATGATGGTATTTTAAGGTAATATTGGAAAAAAATCAAGATGATGTTTTTAATTTTTTATTACAATAATAAAATTTGATACTACTAACCGTTAAAGTTTTAATAGTTTGTTGTTTGCATTAAAATATTAGTCTTGGGCCGGTGGGTGATGTGGTGGTTAAGGCTGCTGGATTTCACGTGGCCAACTACACAGTTCTAGTCCTATATCCAGAAGCTTGAAAAAATATTCCCATTGCACATGAATCCATGTCCAGAATCCCCAGAGGAGAATGGAGAAGTGATTGATGTGTGGTCATCCCATCTGGGGAATGTTTTCTCTCTCTCTCTCTGGTGAGCATACATACACCCTATAGCAAATTTTAAAATATATTTATTGGTCTAATCTAGGCTGTGAACTGCTCCTTTTTTTCTTTTTCTTTTTTAATAACATCATTGTAACTGTTTAAAACCTAAATGTGCTCTTTTCACAGCAAGTGAAAGATGGTAGAGTTGTACCATCTTAATTAAAACATTTTCACTTTAAACTGAATTTTTCAAAGTTATTTGTAAGACCATGACTCTTCAGTTTTAAAGATAACAGTTAACTCATTGTATTGGATAATAATTCTTAACTAGCCACAAAATTGCTAATCATGAAACTATATATCAAGTTCCTCCTAGTAATGAAACAAAGTATCCTATAAAAAAATTTCCTTCCTCCTCGCCCTTATTAACATTGATAAACTTGAAAAACGAAGAAATTGCTTTACATAGGACTTTGTATAAAGAAATTTTAATTTCTTTAAAATTAAGAAAACTGGGACCAGCAGGTGGCATGGTGGTTAAGGCACTGAACTCCCACACGGTTGACCACAGTTCAAGGCCTGAATCAAGTAATTTGCTTTCTCACTATCCTTCTCCCTCTGTCTCTCTGGTCAAATTGATAATAATAATAAATAAAATTTAAAACACAATTAAAAATTAAGAAATCTGATGCGTGTTAGCTTTGAAAAGTAGAAACTAATTCTGCAATTTGTCTCCTTTACTAATTAATAACTGCAGATACAGGCATATTTCTAGATTGAACATTGTATACGTATATGTATCAATAGTGTTAGGCAGATATATAAGAAACTGGTAACAGCAATTGTGGAGTGAGGGGGATTTATTCTACCTGTTCAAAAGTAATTAATTTTATAATGAATAAAATAAGTTGACCCTTTTTTTGGTAAAGTTTTTTGCCTTAGGGCATGTGCACTCACCAGAGAGACAGAGATAGTGAAAGGAAGAGTGAGAAATCACCGCCCCCCTGGGGGGGAGAGATGGCCATGCTGCAATCCCATCTCCTCATCTCCTGGGATCTTGGGCATACACACACGTGGGCCTAGCATGTTTCCAGCCACTAGGTCCAGGACTTGAACTACAGCCAGCCAGGTGAGAGTCCAGTACTGTAAGTACTATGCCATCTGCTGA